CCAATCCTTTTGGGTCCCAAGATAGGGCAGATTAACACTCTTTTTCTGTGGGAGAGAAGGGAAAAAATGCCTCAAGATTGCATCTGAGGCGCACACAAAAGGTAAATTCAAAACTGCCACTTGTTCTCTGCAAAGGCTCCTTATTCTCCGCCATTGATGTATTTGTGCCAGGTTTTAAAGAAACCAGAGGGGGGATGAGGAATTAACATATTGCTCATTTGGAAAAACAGCCGGTTCTGGTTTTGGTAACACTTGTTCCCTTGCCAGCCACAGATGTCCTTACTAATAATCGTGGCAGGTCACAGAAAGAGGGGAGCGGGAGGGGGATGTTGGGGGGGGGGCGGGCGGGCTCCCCGGCACTCCCGTGCGGCTCCAAGCCTGCCCCGAGCCAGGCTGCTGCTGCTGGGGCGGGCGGAACGCTGCGGAGCCCGGCGGAACGCTGCGGAGCCCGGCGGAACGCTGCGGAGCCGGGCGCACCGCACTCCGGCTGAGGAATACCCGCGGCTGCGCACCGGCGCTGGGCGCCGGCCGGACCGGGCCGTGGGGACGAATTTTCTTTTGTTTTCTTTCGTTTTTGTTTTTTTCCTAAACTCGTCTCAGTTTTTGGTTGAAGTTCTTGTACTTTTCCCTTCTGCAAACCCCTGTGACATTTTTTATTCGTCTCCTTTAAACTTGCTGACCGTGTAATTTCCCGTGTTTTCTTGGCGGAGGGGCTTTCACGTACTTCCTAGGCACGGCAAGAGAAGATGCTGTTCAGAACCTCTTGCCGGGGCGGGGGAGGTGTGCGGGGGAGGTCCAATAAGCCAATTAGACGCGACCGCGCCGTCCCGGCCGCGGCGGAGGCTCCGCGCCGAGCGGGAGCCCCGTAGGTTAATCGTGACAATTGGAAAGGCAACACTCGCGGGGAGAACAGCGGGGGGGATGTAAACACGGTCCGGGGTGTTGAGGGTCTAAATTAGGATTTGTTTTGTTTTTAAGCGTGAAGGAGGAAGCAGCAGGGCTGCGCCAGGCTCCCCGCCTCTCTCGCCCTCCGTCCCCGCGATTGAGAATCGGGGCTGGAAGTACAGGGGGCTCCCTGCCGGAGCTCGGGGGCTGTGCTGGACCGCACCCCCAGCTCTGTCTCTTTGCTTCCAGGACTGAGAGAATTTTGCCGTGGCTGGGATGGATGGGACCGGTGGCTGCAGCCCTGGGCTCGCAGTCCACCTGGGGTCGGTCCCTCATCCCGGGCGCTCTGAGGTGTCGGTAGGCCCATCGGAACGGGCACGGCTGACCTCGGGACACTTGCCCGGCTTTCTCCGGGGAAGCCTCATCCTTCCCCGGGGTCAGGGCGCTTGGCTGGGACGGGAGAGGAGGGGAACGTCGCCCCGGCTCCCCGAGGCGAGCTGCGCTCCCTGCCCGGCGAGCTGCCTCTTGCCGCCGGGAGCCCCCCTTGTCTCCTCTGGGGTCCCGGATCCTCGGTCCGCGGACGGGACCTGGAGGCTGAGCTGTTCCTGCGGCCCCACGCGTGTGCCCCGCCGGAGCAGCCACGCCACCAGGCTTGTCGGCCGCGCTGGGGGCTGGTGGGGGATGTTGGACTGTCACCTGCGGGAGAGGGCGGCCCCGCTGCCACCTGCGCCGCTCCACCCGCGCCGTCCAGGCGGGCGGCGTAGGGGTCGCGGCGCCCCCGCCCCAGCAAGGGCCGTGCCGTAGGGCCCGGGACGGAAAGGGGAGGGAGCGGGCACGGAAAGGGGCCAGCGCTTTCTTCCGGGAGCGGAGCTGGGCCGTTCCCACCTGCACCCCTGGGCAAGCACCTGCTGCCAGGCGAGCTGATGAAAGCCCAGGCTGGACGAACCCACCTCCATCCCCTCTCTTCCCCCTCACCTGCCCAAAAAGCGCTTCGGAGCGGCAGCGAAGCCCTCGCTCCCCAAAGCTCCGCGGGGCAGCCCGCGGCCCGGGAGGGCTCCGTTCCCAGCGGGAGAGTCGCTCCCGGCTGCTCCGAGGGCTGCTCCCGAGTAACCTACGGCAGCTCTAACTGGCAGCAGGCGTTATTTTTATTTTAAGATATCCTCACGTCTTTTTTTTTTTTTTTCTTAACAACAAATTAACATGCCAGAGGCAAAAAAGGCGAACGCTGCCCCCTCCCCCCTACTCTGTTACGGGAAAGAAACTGGTAAATTCGTGCTTATGTTAAAGAATGGCTATACAGTATATCTCCTGTGGCAGGGGAAAAGGGTGATGGATAAAATTGTTGTATGAAATCGTTTGGGTTACAATAATAGTTATGGTTTAAAATAGGCGACAGGCTGCAACCTAAAGGAAACGGTTAATTCCCTTAGGAATTTATACATCAAACGAAAACCGTATTGAGATCGCTAATAGACCTATTCAGAATAGCCCTGAGTATAAGGAATAAGGCTTTTGAACAAGCGAAGCTCCTAAGCTGCTTTGCAAAATAGCTTTTTCAGAGATCGGAAGATCAGCTGTGGAAAGGTAGCACGACAATTAAAAAAAAAATCCATAGCTAGATGAATAATTGAAACCTATTTATTTTGAGGTTAGTCGTTCCTCTGCGGAACCTGTTGTCTCGGGAGCGCGGTCCTGAGGGGCTTTGTCGCTCCCTCTAGCTCAGGGCGCCAGGGAGTTTCCCCGAGTTCCCCGCAGGCGATCTCCGCCGGGGGACGGGGACGGGGACGGGGCCGGCACAGCCCGGGCGAGGGGCGGCCCGCGGCGCTTTGCCTCCAGCCCGCACATCGGGGCTGGTCCTACCCGGGCCAGCGCTACCCTGCCCCTCGCCGCCAGAACTTTATCCCCTTTTAAACAAGGCAGGTGAGTCCAGTAAAGCTCATTGCTGCGCGAAAAATACTCCTTCCTGCAGGTCTCACTGACTGGAAATGAAATATCCAACGGAGGAATTCGAGCGTTTTTTAAAAAAACCATTTATCGTTAGTAGAATGACAAAATAACATACTATTATCCCAGGAGTATTTGATTCTTTGCACGTTCAGTTGAAACAATTTTGATTTTAAACCAAATTATCTACCAAAAATCATATAACCAAACGAATATAGACTGCATCTTTAAAACTCAAAATACAAACTACTATTTAAATTCCCGTAAAATGTAAATATGCATGAATAAACCTGTTACAGCTAATATAAATGGCTCTGACAAAGTTGAGGAGATTACAAAATAATTATCTGGCTCGTAAAGAAAAAAAAAATCCAAGCAAACGGAGAGGTGTCTCAGCACCAGCCCCAGAGGTCCCAGTCATACTCCCATCACATCAGCAGTGTCGATGTCAGCGTACAGCTGACACCCCAAAATCCACACGGAACAAGGAGGGACCCGTTCCCGCAGCCGGGTGCTGGAGCAGTCCTCGCCGTTATTCCTTTGCAGGGGACCCGGGCTGCTCGGGCAGCCCCGCGAGCGGGAGCCGAGTTTTGGTTGGGGGTTCTGCGCTGGGGAGCCCCTAATCCGCTCGGGGACCCGCTTCCCCCTGCCTCGGGCTGTGGAGCCCCAGAACGGCGCGGAGGGGGCTCGGGGCGCTCTCTGTCCCCGCACCCCAGGGACTTGTGGTGGGATTGCCCCGGGATCGCGGCCCCTGTCCCACACCGGCCGCGGCTCTGCGGCCTTAGCGCGGAGCGGAGCGCGGCCCCGCGGGACTCCCGCACGGCCGAGCGGGCGGCGGGAGCCAAAGCCGGGCCGAGTGTGACACCTACCTGCCAGCGCCGGGAGCACCGCGCCCGCGGCCGGCCCTGCGCGGGGCTGCGCGCCCGCGGGCCCCGCCGGGACCGCCCCAGACCGCGGGCCGGGCACCGCGGGGCTGCGCGCCGGGGCCGGGCTGCGGGCAAAAGTAAAGGCAAAGGGGCTGCGGCCGCCCCCGCCGCACCGAGCGCCTTCGCCCGGGCAGCCGGCGGCCCCGGCTGCCGCCGCAGCACCGCCGCTGCAGCGAGGCGGGCTAAATCTGGCAGAAAATCGAACTCATTAGCAAAGTTCACCAGCTGATTGCTTTGCATAAAACACGACACTGATTGGAAGTAATTAGGTTAAAAGATGGGACTGCGCTTCGATTTGGTGTTTCTAACAAGTGCTTTTGTGCGTGGCCTGATTTAAGCCTTCACCTCTGGGAATAGCGTCCCTCCCGCACCCGGCCCCGTCCCGCTGCCGCTCGCCTCTCCCGGCCCCGCGGGCGGCTCTCGCCTCCGGAGCCCCCTGACCTCTAAAAATTTCCTGCCACTTCCAAAAAGGCTTCAGGTACTACTCTGAGGTCCTAAATGGAGCCCCGCGTCTCTTTAAAGACATGCTTTTATTTTTCCGCAGCTATGCACGTATCTGCCCGTTGCAAAAAGAGAGTGGTTTTGATTCTGTTAAAAATCTCTTTTAATTAAATATTTGCATTTTACAAAGGCGGCTGCAGGTTTGGGTTTTTTTAAATCTAATACGTATAACCTATTTCCTTTTTTTGTCTCGTTTTTGCATTATAGTTTAACTCACACCCAAGGAAAAAAAAAACAATAGGCAAAAAAAATTAAATTAAACTTGTATATATATATTTTAAAACTATGAAACAATTCGGAAAAAGACACAGAAATGTATATATTTATATTACGAAAACAACATTAATGCCTGTACAGTTGTCTTGATTTCATAATTTACTTCAAAGATACTGTATTATCAATTTAAATACAAAAAAGCTACATTAAATATACAGAATAAGATTTAATACAAATCTTTCTTCTTTGTGTGTGTGAGAGAGAGCATGTCACTCGTTTGCTTTTCACTTGCTTAAGACATTTCTGGGCGGTTTCCACCAGCCATTTCAAATAGACTCTATAAACTTTTGAAGAGGGGCTGGGAGGGAGGGGGGAGCTGGTCTTTTTCTGTTTGTTTTGTTTTTCTTTTGGTACTGGAAAAATAACTGCCAAAGCAATTTATTATTTCTCTCAAATAAATTAAAAAAGGGAAAAAAAAAAAGGAACAAAACCACAGTCCCAGGAGGGGTTAGGGAGGAGAAGCCGATATTAAATGTTGGACATACCTTTCTTCAGTTCGTAAGGTGAGTCTTTGCAAAGGTCTACTTGGGACTGGCTCCTGATCATTTTAGTGTCTTTAGCCAGGCTCTCGGCTCTGCTGAGGACAGTCTGATTTAATCCATTGAAGTGGGCGCCGGGGGCGGCGGCGGCGGGGCCGCCGGCGGGGTGCCCGTGCAGGGCCCCGAAGGAGCCGTAGTTCGTGTAGCCGGGGTAGAAGGGCGCCGTGTAGTAGAGCGGCCGGGGCAGGACCGCCCCGTTGGGGAAGGGGCACTGCGCGGCGGGCGAGCGTGGCCGCGGCGGCGAGCGGGACGGGCCGCTGCCGCCCAGCACGGCGGGGCCGGGGGGCGCCGCCTCGCCGCCGGCCTCCTTCGCCTTGTCCGCCGAGGTGGCGATCTCGGCCAGCGACCAGAGCTTGGGCTTGGAGAGGGCCGCCTGCTGCGGCGAGTGGATGACAGAGGCGCCGGTGGCGGCGGGCAGCAGCGGGTGCAGGTCGGCGGCGTGCGGCGGCCCGGCGGCGGCGGAGGGCGGGCGGTACGGCGGGGGCTCCTCGCCGCCCGCCGGCGGCGGCCCGCGGCCCGCCGGACACGGTCCCAGCGGGGAAGCGCCGGGCGCCTTGTGGGGGACGGGCGGCCCGTCGAGCCGCTCCTCCGCTAGCTCCTTGCAATCCGAGTCGCTGAGGCCGCTCTCGGCCTCCCGGGGGCCGGGGGACTCCTGGAGGCGCTCGCAGCCCGGCGCTGCCTTGGGATCCGCCGCTCCTGGTAGGGGGAGAAAGGACAGGGGTGGGGGGGCAGCTCTCGGTCTCGCCCTGCGCCCCCAAACCCGCCCACCCACTTCGCCGCCCACCCTTCGGTCCCCGCCGTGGCCAGGCCCGCTCCGCTGCCCGCCGGCTCCCCCCGCCCCGGCTGCATGCTCGGGGGAACAGGCCGCCCCGCCACCGCCGCACCGGGCCGGGCCGGGGCAGCCCCGAGGGCGCGGCCGCGGTGACCCGGCCGGGCCCGCTGTCCTACCTGTGTCCGGAGTCCCGGGGTCCCCTTTCTCCTCCAGTTTCTGGGGCTCGTCCTCGTCGTTTTTCTCCAGGTCGATGTTCTCCTCTTCCTCCTCGTCCTCGCTCCGGTTTCGTGGGGTCCAGGTCATTTTGTTCTCCTTCTTGAGCCGCCGCCGGGCGTTGGCGAACCAGGTGGAGACCTGGGTGAGGGTCATTTTGGTGATGATGGCCAGCATGATCTTCTCGCCCTTGGTGGGGTAGGGATTTTTCCGGTGCTCGTTGAGCCAGGCCTTGAGGGTGGCCGTGGCGTCCCGCGTCGCGTTCTTGCGGTACGCGGGGTCCCCGTAGGGGTAGGAGCCGAGCGGCGCCGCGTACGGGTGGTACCCCAGGGAACCGGCCATGCCCGGCGTGTGGTCGTAGGGCGAGCCCTGGGGAGAGAGGGGACAGCGGCCCGGCGGGGCGAGGTCAGCGGCCGCGGGGCGGCAATGACAGGGCAAAGGCAACACCAGGGCCTGCCCGCAGCCCCTGCCCGCGCCCCGCCGCCTCTCCCCCAGCGCCGGGCCCTGCCCGGCTTGTCCCCCGGTTCTTTCCCGGGAGGAAGGGCCCTGGGGGCTCTCCGGGGCCCGTAGTCTCCGACCCCAGGAGACCGCCGGCTGCTTGCAGCAATCCAGCGGTTCTCCCCCAAATGCAGGAGCGGAAAAGCAAGTGGGCAGCGCGGTGTGGGGGCGGACAGCGGCAGGGGGACCGGAGCCTTCCCCCCTGCGCTGCGATCGCGGCAGACAACCTGCCGGGCTCAGGCGGCCGGGCGGGCTGGGCCGCTCCTCCCTGCCCAGGGACGGGTGGGGGAAAAAAATAAAAGGAAGAAGAAAAGAGAGAAGAAAAGAAGATAAAAGAGAAACAAAAAAGGAGGGAGAAGGGCAAAAATAAAATGCTAAAGAAAAGAAAATGACACAGAAAAAGGAAAGAAACTCTGCCCTAAACATAGAGGAGAAGCTGAGCCAAAGTCGCCGATTTTTGGGGGGAACTGAGGGGCGTTGGCTGTGACCGCAGCTCTGCGGTGTGGATGTCCCGCACTCGGACTGGCCCCGCGGTGCCCCGCGGGCGCGCACGGCGGCGCAGTGCCTGCCTTCCCCTTCCCTTCCCCTTCCCTTCGCCGCGCAGCCCCGCGGAGCAGCTCGCGGCCATGGGATTAGAGCTCTGCAATATTTAAGCCTAATTATCGCCGGGCAGGGGAAAGTTGCCTGGATTTATCACCCGGATTTCTCCCATCGCCGACCCGTCCTGAATTCATTCCCTTTTCAATCACAACAAGCTAATTGTTGCAGAACTATGGTCGGTGTTTTTTATACATTTGATTTTTTTTTTTTTTTTAGGGAATGAAACCAGTCCCTGCCTGCCATGGTCCTGCTCACCCGGGCCGCGCCGGCGGCTCCCCCCCGCCCGGCCCTGCCCGCCGCTGCCGCCAGCAACAGTGTGAGGCAGGGCACGGCGGCGATGCGGGAAAGTTGGGCGGCGAGGCGGGGAGCCGCGCTCCCTTTTGTCCCCGAGATCTCAAAAATAAAATGGGAACAAAAAGCAGGCCCGGGAGGGGGGGGACAGGCGCCCACGGGATGCCGTCGTGCCCGGCGCGGTGTCGGCTGCCCGCGGCTGCTCTTACCACGTAGGAAGTGAAGGCGGCGGCGGCGGCGGCGGCCGGGTCGGTGCCGTACTGGAGGTGGGAGTTGTAACCCGGAGAAGGGGCGGTAAAGGCGGTAGATCCGGCATAAGGGGAAAAAGCGGAGCCCGAAGAAGATCTCCCAAGTTCATCGGTCCTGGGTCCGGAGATCACGCTGGTGCTGTACGCCGGGCAGGAATAGAGAGCCAAGGACGCTGACGGCTGGTACAAGTAACCCTGAGGATACGACATGGCCAGGCGCGCACATATACCCGGGAGCCCAAGGCGCCGGGAGGGAGCCGCCGCGCTGCCGGGCTGGGGCGGCTGCGGCCGGGGCTTCGCGGGCGCCTCTCCGCCCTCGCCAGCTGGGCAGAGGCGGCACCTTGCTCTGCGCCGGGGCTGCTGCTCCGCTTTCGCCTGCAGCCGGGCACCGCTTCCTCCTTTTTCTCCCCCCCTTGCTTTCCTCTCTTTCCCTCCCCCCCTCCTCTCTTTCTCTCTCTCTCCCCCTTGCACTGGGGGGATTTTTTTTTCCCCCTTCCTCCTCGCTCTCGCTTTCCGAAGGGTCCTGCCAAGATGCTAAGTTGGAAATTGCAGCTCCTGACGCCTTCAGCACGGCCCGGCGAGGCTCCTCCTTCGCGGGGTGTTGTCAGTGGAAGGACTGGCAGGACCCCGCTGGGCTGCCGCGGCCGGGCCCAACCAGCGGGAGGGCTCCGCGCTTCCCTGGCCCTCCCCAGCGCTCAGAGGCTCAAGTGCGCCGGCTCCTGGATTGCAGTCACCTCCGAGCCATTTAAGATCAGCTCCAACTTTCTGCATGTGCTAAATACCGTGCGGAGCCGCGTTGCGCCGGAATGCAAGCCAATCAGTATATGAAAAAAAAAATAGATCTTTAATAAGATTTATTAGCCGCCCGGCTCCCCCTCTTCACAGCCACCCCTCCTCGTGCTCTCTGCCCCTGCCCCTCCCTCCGCTAAATCATTGGAGGTGGGATATACGGCGGACTGCTGGTGCTGTTAGTTTTGATTTTCTTAACAAAAAAGGAGGTTTTCGTTGGGGAAGAGCCGCAGCCAGCCCTGTCCCTGGGCTGCTCGGCCGGTCACTCCCGCGGGCAGGGGCCACCCCGCCACCGGACCTGTTGCGGCGGCTGTGCGGGCGGAGCGGCGGCGGGGTCCGGCCAGGAGCGGGGATCAGCCGCGCGGAGGGCTCGGATTTAGACTCCCAGCGCCGGCCGCAGGACAAGGGCGATCCGGAGGGGAGCAGAGGGGGCTGAGATGGGTCCGCAGACACCGCTCAGAGCGAGGGTTTGCCCGCGGATCTAAGGAACACACCGGGTATCGTCCCCCCGCCCTCGGCTCCATGAAGGGTCGAGGCGAAAGCAGATTAAAACCATATGAACCGGGATAAATCCCTGCCGATCAGAAGATGTAATCTCCTGTGATTCCACCAGATATATTTCTCAATAGAAACATATCCCGATTTATTCCCTCCTCGCATATTTTTTCCCTTGCGGTTGAGGAAAGGAGCTGCTCCGGCGGCCGCGGACCCCTGGCCATAAGGATCCGCCGTGCCTTTCTCGGTTGAGGGAAGGGGGAAGATAGCATAAGACTTATATTTTCAGAATTTATTTTATTTTGTAACTTTTGCATTTCCCGACCCTAATGCTCTCGCCGCGCTCCCCCGCGGGACGAACGCGGAGACGCGAGGAGCAGGGCTGTGTTTTAAAACGGGCAGGCCGGGGCAGGAGCTCCCCGTGTCGCCGTGGAGGCGACACCGACGCCGCCCCGTTTTCTCCGTCCCTCCCTCCCTCCCTCCTTCTCCGGGGCTCCGTCCCGGCGGCAGCATCCACAGCCCCCAGCCGGGCGCAGGCTGGGACTCGCCAAGCGGCCGCGCTGCAGGGCCGGGGCTGGGCGGGAAGGGCGCGCTGTCCGCGCTGCCTTCGGGGGGGACGCGGCAGGACCGAGGCCGGCGGGGCGGGCGCTGCCCGCCGTACAGCAGCGTCACCCCCGTACCCTACCCTGCACTACAGTACCCATCAGGCCGCGGCCCCGCCAGGCCCGCCCCCGGCCGTCCCGGCGCATGACTGGCTGCTCCCCCGCCGGCGGCGGGCGCTCCGCTTCTTCCACGGGCCCGCGGAGCTGTCCCTCAGCGCGGGGTGTGGAGGGGCGGCGGCAGCACGGGCGCGGTTGCGGCGGAGTCCGGAGGCGGCGCTGACAGGACGGCGCGCGGAGGCGCTGCGGGCCGCGGCTGCCGCCCCCGGCCCGGAGCAGCCCGGCTGCGCTGAGCCTGGCCTGGCCCGGCCCGGCTCGGCCCGGGGCAGCGCGGCTGCGCTGAGCCCGGCTCGGCCCGGTCCGGGGCAGCCCGGCTGCGCTGAGTCCGGTCCGGCCCGGAGCAGCCCGGCTGCGCCGAGTCCGGCCCGGCCCGAGGTGAGGGAGCGGGGCCCGGGGGCCGCTCTGGCGCTCGGTGCCGGCGCTGCCCCGCCGCGGGGCGCCCCCTGACGGGCGGCGCGGTTCGGCCCCGGCCCCGCGCTGGTCCCGGCAGCGCCGGGCGGGACTGGCGGGGCCGCACCGGGCTCGGCTCTTCCTCGGCTGCTGCCGAGCCGCGCTCGGTCTGGCCGTTCCTGCCTCTATCCTCTTGCGTTTCCCTCCCCCCCGTTTTGGTTTTTTTTTGGTTTTTTTTTTTTTTTTTTTGGTTTTTGTTTTGTTTTTGTTTTTTAATTGAATTTTTTAATGTGCGGTGTGCGGAATTTCATCTCCTTAAACTCCATGTGGTTCTGCCTCGGTAAACGGGACAGGTCCATCCCCGGCTCGCACGCTCCTTTACATGCTCAATCCACACAGGTGTGCACTTTCATCAGTTTTCGACTGCATGGTGTCACCGGTATTTGTCCCCGGCTTCATTATAGCGATCGCTCTGGAGCACTGCATTTCTTTCTCCACTCGAAAGCTCTTCTGTCATAATCCTCTGACAATCCCCCTTGTTCGGGGAGTGAGATATCATCTGGTCAAGTTTTATACATTTAACATTCATTTTATATGTGAGTAGAATAACTAACTGCTTTTCCGTGCTCCTTTCTTTGTAGGAAGAAGCAGAAGTTTTAACCATCTTCCCATGGCATCTGACTTTTTTGAAGAGGAGGTAAGGTTAACGTCATGTAAAATTACCCTCTTTATTTCTGATGTTCCACTAATCTTTCTTCTGTAGGCATACATTTTGGAAACTGTGGTGAGTTCATGCATACTTTCATGCCTTGCAAACATAATACCAGAGCTGATTAATAAACGGTAGTGATAGGACTCTTATGCCGTCAGGATTGTAAGTGCCTATCAAACTGACATTCTCACTACATTATGCCACTATTATATTCTTTGCAGTTTTAAAAGAACTGTAGATAATTATTCAAGATATTGAAACATTTAGTTTATAGTTCTATTGCTGTGGTTGTCACCTTCACTTTATATCAAATTTGAGACTCATTTCTTAAGGATGTCTCTATTTTCTGCTTTATTTGCACATTGATAGCTTTACTGAATGACTAGTCACAGCAACTTTTTCCTGTGATAGCAGCATATTAAAATGTGAAAGCCTAAGACTAATCTGCTTTGCAGGACTTTTCAACCACTTGATGGAAGGGAAATAAGTTTGTTTCAAGACTCGTATGTTGTTCATCAGTGGTGTTAACAAACGTGCGGCTTGAGGATACATTTGCTGCTTCTCTGCATTTTGCTGGAGGTACGTGCATTTGAAGGTATGGATGAGTTCTTGGTATTAGGGGTTTTTGTGTATTTTGCAGCTGCCAATGAAACTATAACAGTGCAGATTGATATCAAAATTCTGGATTGTTTATATTTTTCTCATAATTTTTTGAAGATAAATTGTTAATGCAATAGAAAAAATGCTTGCCCTTAAAGTCTTATTTAATAGTGGGAAAGATTTACAGTCTGGCTGTGCCCTGTTGACATTATTTAAATTTAGGCATGTGAATTTAGATTCAGCTTCTATAAATAAATAATTAAAATCCCTATTTTTATAGCCTTCAGTCTGTTTGGTTGGTCCTGCAAAGCTGTTGAAAGGGTCATTGGTTAGTTTAGTAGTTGGACTCCAGTAGGGTTTTTGGGATGAGAGGAGCTTGGATCTGAGATGACTGCACAAAAGGTGACCCAAAATATAGCAAAACTTGGATTTGCATATTTGTTTTTTCTACACTGGTTTCTTTTGCATGGTTTCATTTAGATTGTGCAAATGGGGTACAGCATAAAATGGCTTAATAAATCAGGGCATGAATGTACAGTAGGGATCAGCTGAGAATATTTTGTTTCTGGGAGAAACAAATGGAAAGAGGCAGAATGATCCTGGAAGTAACAGCAAACTATAGTTTAAAAGTAGAGCTCTTGGTAGGCTCTAACTGTAAGTGGTTTGGTTCCAGGTGGCTTATAGTGAATGCAGTTAAACTTGGCTATCTTGGATATGATACACCTTAATTTAATTAATTTAATAGCTACTTTCTGTTGAAACTTTAAAATCTAACGATCCTGTTTTTATTGCAGTCCTTAAAGATCTAATCATTCTTCTGTGTGTCTGAGATGTAAAACTTAGTGCAAGGAGAGGCAACAGATTGGTTCCGTCATACGATTCTGTTGGGTTTTTTTGAGAGTACTTAAAAGATTATGATGGATAATGCTGTCTTGCCAAAGAATGCCGACACAGGTGTTCATCATTATCTTAATTAAGATCCTGAGAAAATGTCATCTTTCGGCATGAATTATGAAGGGAGATGCATTAGGAGATCATTTCAACTTTTTTTTTCTTTTTTTTTTTTTTCTTTTTACAGGGGTAGATGAGAAGGAGGCTGTTTTCTCAAAACCTTTTTGATATTTCTTTATCAGAATACCTGACCTTAGACACTGAATTTGTTTCTCCAGTTCAATTTGGGACAATATTACCCAACAATTATGTACATGATGCTAAAGGGAATCCTCTTAAAGCAAAAAGAATTAAATAGTAATTCTCCTACAAGAGACCCTGTTTCAGTTAAAGCTGTCCTATTAAAAAAAAAATCTGTGAGACTCAGATGGTAGGGGAAATTGCTGCTGGAAATATCTGATAAGAGATGTTTCATACAGTATATTTTAAAGTATTAACAACTCATAAGAGAAAAATAAATACACGTGAATATTCATTCTTTTAATTAGGCATGAAGAGAAAATTTTCTTTCTCATCTTTGCACTACCATAGAAGTAAAACTAATTAGTGTGCAAAGGGGAGGGAGGGGCCTGTGTCTTTCTATCTTAAATCAAAACATTATTAACTGGGCAAGAGCTAAAAAAATGCATGTAAAATATTGGCTATAAAACTTAGAGGCCCTTTCCTGCAGACACTGCTGCTGCTTCCCTCAGGTGCAGTGCTGGGACTTCCAGGTGCCGTGGAAGTGCTGGTGTTTTGTGGCTCTCAGCCTGGATAAAGGAGGAGCTCTCTGAGCAAGACACCCTCAGCTGCTCTGTTGTTTCTTCTTCCTGCACTTCCTCTGCCCAAGATTCTCGTTGTTCACACTCTCTGTGTTTGTGGTCTGAGAGTGAGGTGTAAACTCGTGAACACCTAGAATTACTCTTCTGTGCCTAGCATTTGGGTATTAGGTAGTTTTGCTTTTCTCTCCAAGCCTTTCTATTTTAGATCACTTCTTGTCTGCTAAAAGAAGCCTGATTATCAGTTCCAGTCTTTTTTTTTTTTTTTTAATCGCTTCAGCAGCCTTTTTAGTGTGTGGAATAAAATAGAAAAGTGCAGCTGACAAGTCTTTCAAGCACCTAGTTATTGTACTGAGCATGTAACTCCAAAGATCTTGACAGTATCATGGGAGAACCTGAAACTGCATTTCAGTTTCCTTGAAGTTTCCTGTAATTAACTTAAATGGCATTATTTGCTTGAATTTGTTGGCATAGTATGGACTAAGTTAAGAATGTCTTTAGGGTTTATTTTACTTACAGTTCCATGGACACATGCAGAAAATAGACTCTGAGTGAAAAATGAAAAACTGCTTTCTTTCATGTCTAGAGCAAGTTTTTCACTTAAAGCAAGCCACATCTCCTGTTAGTTGGCTCTTACAGCAAATGAGGAGCAGCTCAGTGGGAAGGATGGCTGTGGCTCCCTGTGCTGCTTTATGGGATCTACATGAGCCCATAGCTTCCCTCATGGTGGCAAATTCCCTTTTGCCTGCAGGTTCTGCAGCGTGGTGGGAGCTCCTGTAGCTGGAATCTGGCCTTCAGTGTGGGTGTTAGAGATGAGTGTCTTAATAGCAGTGTTGTGTTCCAAAGATTTTGTGCTTTATCTACTTTACTTCCATATATTTGCAGTCCTTATGACTGGTGTTTGCAAGAGCTCAGCAGTACCTCTCTGAGGAGAAGCATAAAGCCAGGTAGCCTTTCTGGCCTTACACCCAAGGAATTCTTTTTAACAGTTCCTAATTTCTGGGATTTTATTAGAGCTTTTTAGTCTGTATACCTTAATGTGAGTGGTGCAGATGTAGATGATTCTTAAAGCTGTTTTTTGCAGATTAAAGTGAATGTATTGGTAGAACCAGCATATTTTTTTTCTTTTTTATTATTAAATCATTGCTTGAGGAGAAAAACAAACCAGTTGGACCATTCAAGGTGAATATGGATCACCATATCAGAGTTTAATGTACTAATAAACATGTGACTGATTACTCTCCTGCTCTTGCTGAAGGAGATGCACCTTTCTGAGCAATTTCCTTTTTCCCAACAGAGCAAAAACAAGCTTTTTCTTCTTGTAAACACATATTTTTCACAGTATTTTTTAGCATTTCTAGCGCAGATGATGAACACAGCATTTACCTCTGAAATATTCTCTGCTGACATCTACAGAAATTTTCATGCCCTTCAGATTTAATTTTGTGTAAAATAATGCATGGTATAATATTTAGGTCCTGTGTTTTCAATTAAGCTGTATTAGGTAACTATGCTCTTCTTTCATATCCCATAGCAAAGTATCAATATCCAGATGGCAGTGTTCTGGGATAAAAGATAGCTACAGGCTTGGCTGCTACTGTAAAGCCAAGAACAAACATTTTAGCCTGTGTGATAAATAAAACCCAGGTTGAGACTCTCGGCGTATTGGAGTTGCACTAAATAATTCTACAGTGCTGTTTATTACTGGTTTCATTGGATAATATGCAGCTGTAAAACCTGCTTGAAGCTTTTATTAAGAATACTCTGTCATTATAAAAAGGTGCCTATGACTTCTTTATGATATTGGCAGTGTGAGAATTGCTTTGTTTGTGCTGACTTTCTGGCTTTTATCTAGGAAGGACCTTGCTGTCTCCCAGCTCCTGTGGGCATTATGTTTCCTGAATGTCTCTTGGGAAGAGGACAGCTCTGTAGAGCCTAAGTTTCAGAAGTAATTTTAAAGGTTTTTTTTTCCTTTATGCTTTTTCTTAAGTTTATTTCAGTATTTAATTTCTTGCATCAGTTAAAGTTCAGCTGATATTCCCTGTAATATACACTGTGCTGCTGTGGCCCTAAGTAAAACTTAAGCTGAGGTCATCCAGGTCATCCATTCTTTGGGAGGAGGCTGCAGTAGGGTGGAGAGACTTTTAGGCTGGCTGAGAAGGGATTGGAAAACTTAATAGCACGCAAAGGGCTAGACCTGGGTTTGTTTTCTCCTTGCATTTCTGGCACATCCTATGACCTAGATTTGTTCATGTAACCTTGGCCTCAGTTTACCCAACAGGAACTCTGCTTGTCTCAGAAATGTTCAGATGTAAATTGGTGTCCATGCTCATATAATTGTTAGACTCCTGTGCTTTTGAGCAAATGATTAATTCTATCACTGTTTCATTAGCAAAATGCCATTAAACTGCCCTGTTCCTAAGATCTTGGACTTCCATAGGCACCTGTTTGTGGTGCACCTCTTGGAACATGCAGGATTGAACACCATCCAGTGGGATGTGGCACTAACATAGTGTTTGTGGGATTTAGCAAACATACAGGATCAATGAGTGAAGAAACCCTTGCATTGCTCAGTCTATAATCCTTGTTTGTCAGAGAAACATGCTGTCTGAATTAGTGACAAATACTGTATTTTTGTTCCAGCCCCCATTCTCCATACATCCCTTTTTTTTTGCCCTTCCAGATTGCACCCAAGAGAGAAGCAGTGAGATGCACAGTGGGGAAAATAAACCCAGCAGTCCATCCTATCCTGTACCTGCCTGAATATGGGAAGAGACCTAGTACAAAGCCAGAATACACCTGGGCTTGCAGTATTTTTAACCATAATAAGTCCTGTTCAGAGTTAATGGTAAGTAATCTGCTATGAGTATGATATGATTCATTAAGCAAAGCATTAGAGCTGGGGCACTTCCCTTTGTCATGCTGGGTTTAGTCACTTCTAGAATGCAGAATTAATGTTTCCAGATACATCAACTTTATTCCATTTCTGTTGAGAAAATTGCACAGTGCATGTAATAAGTATGTTGTTTTCTATTTTTGTTCTCTCCAGATGAGCTCAGTGAGATGGTCTCAGCAATGCTGAAGAAGGGAAGGACAGAATTGGAAGGCAGGAGCTATTTCAAAGCAGGATTCTTCATCTTTCTGTAATGCCCAAACACGAAGACTTTATAAACTTCATTAGGTATAGTATTGCTAATAGTGTCATGTCAGTAATGTTGCATGATGTAATATGGCATTGCTATATTGTTTAGTGACCATGTGGAGCTGCATTAAATAAATGAACATATGCCAGTGATTTAAATTAACATTATGAGTGAGAGCAGTAAATGGAGAAGGTGGGTACTAGAGGAAGTGCTTGTAGGTTCTTCAGTGTCTTTCTTTTTTCAGCTCTTTGCATAACCAGTAGTGCTTTCGTTTCTTGATTGAGATAAAAAAAAACCAAAAAACAAAAAACCAAACCATCTTTTCATTCAAGAAATTGAATCTAGTTCAACTTCTTAACCAGAAAGACTTCACAGTCCTACTAGCTGTTAGAGCATCTTAATGCTTTGTCCAGCAGGAAATTGCACTCACAGTGCTGACCTATTAACATCTGTAGTGCAGCAGCATGTGCTGCTCTTGCTCCTCAGGGCTTGTGAAATGTCTGCTGTGGCACAGCCCTCTGTGACCTCTTGCATTGAAGGATGGAATCTGTGAGTCCCTTTCTGTCTGGAGCTTGTGGGAGCTCCCTCCTGAGCCAAATAGTTCTGAAATACTGCAAAAAAAGATCTGACAGTGTTGTCTGGGAGATGTGACTGACTTAATTATTATTAACATTTATTAAGTGCCTTACAATGGAGTGGAAGAGCCATTGCCTTCCTTTTTACAAATAGGAAAGCTGGCATGTAAGGAAGAATGAATCTCTTCTATCTTCTGCAATTCTTGACCCACCTAATTAGGTGATTGTCACAAGAAATGAGAAGCTGGCTCAGGGGAATGGCACAGGGGGAAGCTGCCGGCGCGTTCTGTGCGTGCCGCGCTTCCCCCTCGCACAATGGCTTAGCCTGGGGAGCAGGGCTTCCCTCTGTCACTGTCCCTGGGCCAGGAGGACATGTGAGGGGGCTGAGGAGCCTGGGGCTGTCTATTGGATAGCTTCATTATAGATCTCACCCAGGGAAAAAGTGGGCAACTGCAACTCATTTCTAGGAGCTACTTTGGTTTTTAGCAATTGCTCAGCCACTGCCTCCTCCCGCTTCCTTTCACTGTGGAGGGGCCTTCCCCACAATAAGCTGATTTTCTTCATGGCTGGTATTTACACTTAGTTAGCCTCTAAGGCACTAACTGCTTCTTTAAGACTTCAGTTTCTTTTTTTTTTTTTTTTTTAATAATTTATTTTGCTGAGAAAGGGAATCTGTCCAGCTGCTACAAACAATAGTGGTTTTGATGTATATCAATAGAGTTAGAGATGTATGTTTTCCAAGTAGAAGATAAAGAGACTTAAAGCCTGCTTTAAAGGAAGGCAAACCTTGGAGAGGTTTACTTAGATGTACAATATGCCCTATTCTTTGATTTTTTAAAACAGTATTAAGGGATTTTTTTCAAGAAAAGAGGAAATAATTTCATCTTTTTGGTTGCATTTTTTTTTTAGTCTCACAGTTGTAAGATAAATATTCAGAATTAGGAGTTGCTAAGGTTAATGTGATTAAAATGAGTATGTGATAACGGGCTCTGCACATTAAAGATTAAGAGCTCAAATTATAGACTCCAGAGGGAAACACTCCATGAGCATTTGTAAATTTTGTTTGTGCAAAAAATGCAGGCTTAGGCATTTTGCAGTTGTACAACAGTTTTATCCTGTTTTATCTGCAGAGAATTCTTTTAAACACTGTAGTATTGGGGTGAAAATGTAGTGAGGTGGGGGGACAAATGAGGAAATAATTTTAGTCTAAGCATTAGTGTTTCTCTGTAAAAATAGATTAGTTTTACACAATTTATTCACGTTTACAAAGGTCGTTTATAGCATTCTGAGTGCAGTAGTTAATTCTTTATGTATAAATTGATCCTTTATATAGATGTAATTCCATATACAACATTTAATCTTTGAATGCAAGTTGAAAATATATTAGCAATTAATTTATGTAGGTTATGACTTTCTTTCGCATATACTTTGCAGTGGTTCCTACCCTAAAGTTGAGTCAGTGTGTGCTTAATGAAAATTAGATGTGAAATGTAATATGTAGAGGACAAAGAAGCATTGAAATCCTTATTGCTCTTAAAAAGACAAAGGTACCTCAGATAATTCTCCTTTCTTAATCTCTTAAGAATTGGATGCATAATTCTGTTATGAGCAATTTGAAGTGAATAAAATATTTTTAGAGGTAGTATTAGTACCAGATATTATTTCTCACTTTTTATGAAGGATAGTTTGGTTTTAAAATTTAAAATGCTTTGCATTTTGAGAGGCTCATTTATAGTCAGTCTTCCACTGAGAAGGAAAAGCACCTTGGATGTTTGTGGAGGGGCAAGCCTTGTTGTTATATCTGTGAAATTCGCTAATGTTGCAACCATTGAAATAAAGTGTTTGTTTACATAACAGCAGTGGCATTTCTCCTCCTCTTCCTTGTGGTTTTGTCCAACTAGATGTTATGAGTGGCAGTTGCAGTGACTGCTAAGTGTTTAAATGATGACACCATTATGTGAGGTGATTTTGAAATGAGAGATTCCAGCCAAGAATTACATCTGCTCTCATCTCCTTCAAATCATACTCTCTGGCTGTGCAGATTATGATTGATTTGTTTGTGACAGATTGCAGGAAACAGTCATTGATTTTTCAATATTTTACCTTAAAATTATTTACAGTTGTAACCAAGGGGAGGTATTTCCATGGGCTGTCAGCCCCTGAAAGACTGGGATAATATTCCCTGCTCCCTGACAAGACAAATTACCCGTAATGAGTGCAGTAGCTGAAGGGTATACTTTTATTTTAAAATATGTCAATAACCCAGTGACTAAACGAATATTGATTCAGCATAATGAAGCCTGAGTAATGTGAAAATGAGCTCTTCAAGGAGCATGGTAAAGACTTTCTTTTTAGCTTGTAGCAAGAAGCTTTTCATTCTTTAGTGTTAGGTAGTTGAAATGTGCAGTCTTAAACAAGTCATCCTTAAACATTGGTAATATGTGGAGTAATGTAACAAAAGAACTTCAGGGGTTTTTTCCTGTTTATTTTTTCTTTTCTCCAAGTTGTTTTTTCTTCAATATGTTTCAGTAGATTAAACACAGGAAAATGCAAGTTATCCAGGGCAGAGATAAAACTACTATAGGTGTAAATATCTTTTGCAGTAATATTCTTCAGCTAGCCTAATGGCATTTTTAATGTGGAATCTCAATATGGGCATTGGAATATATCTAAAGAAACTGTAGATTTAATTTCCTATTATTGACTTCTTGACATACTGATGTGTGTTCTGTGTGATCAGTCTAATATTCTTGTCCTTCAGCAGTTTAGAATGGCTGGTTTATGAGCACCTAGATATACTGTGGTATAAAACTTAGTTACCATAATGCACATTTTTCTTTCCATAACATATAATACTGCATGTTTCTTACCACATGAGAATTCTCAAGCAGTAATTCATTTAAATTACAGTAATTTATGCAGTGCCATAGGTGTGGTGTGGAAAAGCATCTAATAGATTAATACGAATGTACTCAAATTGTTCAGGGTAAGGATTAAAGACCATGTTGAGGTACAATTTTTTTAAACATTAGAAGTATTGAACACTAAAAAAACCCCCACCCTATCATGTGAAAGGATCAATTGGTCATTTGTATTCAAGAGCATCGTGCAACATGGGGAAGGCTCTGCAGAAGCACTGGGTATAAGTAGCCGTGTAATCCAGACATAGACAAAAAGATATTTTCTTGGGCTGTTTGTGTGTAATGTGTCAATTATGAAATAATGTCATAGCCAGAAGCATTTAGTGAGCATGTTTGGGCATGAAGACGACTTTTCTTATTTTCTGAGGACTAACTTCAATTGCATCCAACTAGCTTGTGAAAATCTTCAGAAGGATGTTTTCCTATCAGCACACAGGTGATTTTTTTCCAAATGTCATTCCTTTAGCACAGCTAGAAACTATTTCAGGAGGCACTTGAGAACCTGTGGCATTGAGAGTTAAATGGCAACCCTGGAATGTGAGATATGTTCCTGTTTTTAATTTGCTACTTTTCAAAAAAAAAGTATGATGTACATTTGAGTGGGTTACAACTAAATAATTGTAGTTTTGAGAGGATTTGTGCATATTTCCAACATATTGGAGAATATTTATCATTATTAATAAACTGAAATATATAGCTGTGACAAGAGGAGAATTTGAGGCTCTTGTAAATGTTACAAGAGATCTACAAATGTTCCAGTGTAGAACCTTAACTTCCTGCTCAGTGACATTTTACACACCTCAGGTTCTCTGCCTGTTCTTTGTTTCTGTGCCTTTTTGTTTCTTTGGCCAACAGCAGGAGATGGAAGGGGAGGATTCTTGTTCAGTAGCTTTCCCACAGTAGCGAGGAAGAGGGAGACTGTTCAGGGCTGGGTGCCAGCTCTGCTGTAGACTGAAGGGCAAATAAATGTTTGTTTTAACAACATCTCCTTTTCCTGGATAACACTGCATGAGCTCATGGTACCAAACTGAGTAACAGCAGATCTCTGCTTGCAAGCCATTGGCATTTTTCACTTGTGAGACAGGCAACAACTCTGGCTTTGCTGCCTTTCCCAAAGATGAGTTTATTTATTGAATATCTGACATTCCAGCTCAGGCCTGAACCGTGTGCTTGGCACTAAAGGCAAATGGTGCATTTTTGGCTTTTTATTTTAATTTGTGGGTGATACTGGAGCTGTCTGATGATGGTGCCTTGGAAGCTCTGCAGTTTATTCATACATCTTTCTGTGTTAGAACTGTGATAATTGTTAGTCCATTTTTATGGAGGAGAAAATAAAAACCTCAGACAAGAAAAAAATCCTAAATAATTAATTGGTTGAAAGTGGTTAAAAGTTCTTGTGGCATTTGGGATCTCCCAGGAACAGAACATAAGCCCAATTGCTGTTCAGTTGGGTAAAGGTAAAAGTAGAAAACACTGTGAAATTAAGATCATGGGTAGAGAACAGAATGATATCATTTGTGGCAGAGATGAAGCTATTGGTCACTCATGAGGGGCTCCTGTTTAGGGGCTATGTCCCTCAGCACTGAGCAACTTGCAGATTTTGACTCAGTTAATTTCACAGTGAACACAATACATCAGTATGTTCTTGTAGTGGGTGGTATTGTGTAACAATTCAGATCTTGATTCCATGGTGAATAAAGTAGCAACCAAAACCAATGGTAGATTTATATTTTTTTTTCCTGTTTACTGAGCCTCTGTGTTATCTATCTGCTCTACAGACCAGCCAACTAAAACAAGTTTAGTTTAAAGTGAGAGAGGAGAGCATGTTGATGTAGGTGATGGAAATTGTGCTTACTGGCTAAGCCTTCTCCATGCTGCCTCCTTCCCATTGCCAAATTACTTATTTGAAATCTAAGAACTAGTGTGTGATGGAATCCAAATCAGAGCAGTCTACAAGTAGGCAGACAGCACTGTGTAGAATTTGCTCATCTAAATGTCATGATTACTTGAAACCAATTCTTTGTGCCCTAAATTTCACTTTGAAGGTGTTGCTTCTTTTTGTTTAAATTTGTGGACAAATTATTGCTTTCTCAAAAGCAATTCCGTATATGCAAATATTTTATTCTTTTGGAATGACCATTTTATGTATTAAAAGGTGTCAGTAGTGCAGATAGTATCACAGTCTTTGATGTGTTGGCATATGGCTTATGGTGAACTGTAAGACTGAGATAACCCTATAAAAATATGTGAGGGATCCAAGATGCTGTGAGAGTCTTGCTTAACTGCAATGGTTAAAAAGGCATGGCTGACTTAATGCATGAGTGTTGAAATCTGTGTCTGGAATTATGGAAACAAGTTGAGAAACACGAACAGAATTGATTGTTGATTATTTTCCTTTGTAAGAGCTGGGAAGAGATGTATTGTGCTTTTCTGTGGTCTTTAGAGGCCCCCAGTGTCCTTTTTTTCCTTCTTTTTGTTTTCTTTTGTTAACTTATCTTTTAATATGAAGTGTCATTCCCAAAATGAAGTAGTGTCCTTGGGCTGGTGGCAACAGCTGGAGTTGCAGAATTCATAAATAATTCAGAGAGGGATAAAGGGTAGGAGAATTTTTTTGTCATTTGAATCTTTATTATGTGCACACACTTCATTTTAGATACGGCATCATTTGAATTCATTCAGTATGATGATTGCACTGACCTGTCATATTTATTTTGATGTCCCTTCGAAGGACCATATGCTCTGTCCTCAGCATGAAAATGATGCAAGTTGCAAACTGAAAGGCAGCTCTGTTCCTGTAGGGATGAAGCCCTCACTTCCATTGTCACATCAGTGGATGTACAGCTGCACTGCAGCAGAGAAGGTGGAGTTGTTATGTCAGTGCAGTGACTAAGTGGCAGTGTAGCCTAGCAAAAGGTGGAAAAAAGGGCAAAACCCATTTGCATCAAGGTACTGTATGGCATTGAAAACTCAGCTGTCACTGAGGGCCAGTTGGTGTGAGGAACCTGGCATGTGGAGGGTGGAAAGGATTAAAGCCAGCTAGAAATCTGCCAAGGTGGAGGTGTGCCATGGTAGCTTTAATGTGGGAATACAATTAATTACTCTGTATGTTGGAAGTGGGGTTGCCATGCACACAGCCTCCTGGGTTGCACGGGACTTAGTCTGGATATGCAAGGCTCAGAGCTTTTTTCTTTGCCCAATCCATGCCCTCCTTTCCTCTTGAAGCTGCTTGCTTAGTCAGAAAAAATCTTGGGTAATGTTTTTTGGGAGGGAACAGGGGAAGGAAATGTGCTGTTGTAGTTTGCCTATTCACTAATTCTCCTGTAACCATTGCATCTGGTCCTTCATTTATTTTGTTGGTATGTTCCTGTGGATGAGTGGTGCATTTTCCAGAAGTTACAGGCTCAAGTTCAACCATGTCCCATAAGCAATGAACTGCATGATAATGAGCAATGTCTGGTCCCTATTGGCTAAAGCACTGGCTGGTATTTGCAATTCACAGTTGGTGGATAACAGGGCTCTGTTACTGGGACTTTGTTACTGTTACCTTTGTATGTGATATTAACGCCACAGGATCGCAGTCACCTGGATATTTTCATGGGGTAAGGTGTAACAGGGAGCAGTGATTTGTATGAAGTACATGGCCCACTGTGCCCATGCCAGGGGCAGAAGGAAGCCAATTGAGTGCAGGTTAGTGAAATGCAATAACTGGAACCTGGGAATAACTGTATGCAAAATTGTTTCTTTTCTAGATCCTGCCATCAATGACTGAGCCTCCCTGAAAATCTTCTTATCATTTACTGCCAAGATGAGAAGGATAACAGGAAGGAGGAGTGCTTAAGTGACTTTAATGACAGTTAATTTCTTCTATTTATCAGGTTGTCTTTCCTCAAAACTCAATTGTCATGACAAGATGCTTTTGGAAGTCATCTTTGTAAAATAAAACTGACAATTTTTAGGCTACACAGTGCTATTGTATCTTTTTATTGGATGTTGTCATTATGGTAAAATGCTGGAAAGTCATTATTTTTGAAGTAATTTAACTTGCATACTTTGTTCATTTATTTTAATATCTGTTGAATGCCATGTGAAAAGTTTCTTGCCAGAATTCTTCTATTCAATTGAATAGTTATTGTTACAATGCTCAATTTATTAATGTCTAAATTATTGTTGCCCTAGCCTCCTACAAAAATGTTTCTTTTTAGTAATTCTTAAACAAATAAGGAATGAATGAGGTTTTGTCCCCTTTTTGTTTTGATCAGCATATTTTCCCTTTCAGTGAAAGTGTCTTCATTTTTTGGAATGACACAACACAAAGAAAGGTGTTTTGGTTTTTGGGTTTTTTTTTCCCAACAGCATGTGTCTTTTGTGCAATGATTTTTTAATATGTATACTGCCAAGATACAATTACTGGAAGGAGAGAGAGAAGCTGGTGGGAATGTCATGTTATGCCAAATTAAGAATTATTAGCTCTTACTTTCTGTGCAATCTCTTCGACTAGAACTCGACCTATTGCGTCTGGCATATACTTTGACTCTAGTGGAACTAATGTGTCCTTGGAGTAGCATTTCAGAGTAACTTCAGATTCATGCTTTTTCACAAGTCTGCTTTAAACTGCTGGGATTAACTTCAGAGAAGGCGAGAGATACAGGCTCCTTTGTCAGCAGCTGTGCTGCTTAAAGAAGGAGGCTTCGTGCACGCTTGCTTGCTCATTCTCTCCCTGCTAGGGAAGCAGACGGAGCTGTTTCCCTGAGCACACGCAGACTGACTTCAGCCAAAGTGAATCCTGTTATCAAATATTAGTTATCAGTGCCCTGGGTCAGTCTGATGAAAGGACAGGGCATGCACAGACCAGCTGTGCAGACGTCATGTCTGGGAAGGGTGCTGTGTTGACAAGAGTTGCTGAGGGCTGGCCCTGCTGTGTCGCCTTTTCAGCAGGTGCAGTTACATCTCTCAGATGTGGTAAAAATTGGACGTGTTAGAAAGCTGTGCAGATCTGTCACACATAATATTCACATTCCAGGGACACCCTGGAGAATGCAGAATAAACCTGTGCTCTTTGACTTAGTCCTTGTGTGTGCTAGTATGAGGGGAGAGAACTGGTGGGTGTGTGTGTGTGTGTACATGCCAGGCACCTATTTCAGGAAAATGTATCTGGTCAAGGTGTGGGAATGGTACAAGTGTTTGCATTATCTAGAGAGCACACTTTTTACTTTACTCATCAAAGAGGCTGCCTCAGCCAACACATGCCTCAGGAGAACTGCTTTTGACACATCAGCTGCCTTGAGTGGAGGAGAGAGAACAGCTCCAGCACGAGTGGCTGCTGTTGCTTCTCTACAGTGTTGAATCAGTAGATGCTGGAGTCTGGTGAGGCATCCAAGCTCTTGCTGTTCTCTGTGCCAAAATTAGAATGGTATGGATAATCTTTAGTACTCAGAGACATAGTGAGGAAAAGCAGTGCACTGAACAGCTCCTTCCACACTGACCCTTCTTGTGCAAAGGCTGTGGAGTGTAGGTGCCTTCCTAGAGCCAGCCTGGGCATACAAAGAGCAAGAGAAAGCTGAGAGCAGCAGCACTGCTTGTGTCTCCTCCTGGGGCACTGCCAGGTCAAAAGAACACAGTCACAGAAAGGACTGAGCCTCCAGCTCAGGTTGTGAGTTATCCATTATCTTTTATTTGTCCTTAAGGTAAAGAGTGAGGAATATGCAGTGGCCATACTGCACACATGGAAGGGAAGAAAATAAAGTGCCCGGTGTGTGAGGAAGGGGCAGGTGTGGTTCCAGGTGGGAGAGCTGTGCCCTGTTCCAGCAGCCCAGGGTTGAGCCGTGGCTGAGCTCTCAGTGCTGGGTTCAGGAGTGATGGCACACGCCTCCCCTGACCATGAACTAAGGGCAAATGGCCTTCCCAGCTCTCTGAGACAGCCCATAATCCATATGACTCTTTTTATCTTAAAATGGATTATTAAAGAGATTGAAATGTTTAAGGAAATGCTTGTGATTGCCTAGGAATCTATTTACCTGCCTAAGTGGTAATACACAGGTAAACCAGTACTGCAAAATAACATCTTACATAGAGCACTGTCATGGATGTTAAGCTGATGAGTAAAATTTTACATCCAAGCACTTAAAACCATCAAATACTATAGTTAAACTGCCATACTGTTTATGTAGTGCTAAAAAACCAACCAAGTAAAACTTCAGGGAAGGCAGAGTTTCTTCTTATAAATATTCCAAATAAGAAGTTGGTTTCAAGTAGACTTCCTGGCTCTTTGGTGATTGCTGAATTTGGTCTGAATCTATCAGGAATCCCAATCATAATGGTGTGTTTATTATTATAAACACATGACTTCTATATAAGTTCTCCACAAATATGTTGGACAAAACATAGTTTACCTTCTTAACTGGTACTATATGGTTACTTTCTAACTCCTTTAATTTCAGTTCTAACTTGATTGAATAAAAGGTGCATTCCTGACAATAATCTTTACATCTGTAATGGAGCACTTGATTTTATATGTTTGCATATATATATATGTTTGCATACTCCAGACATAACACAACATTTTTACAGCAATATGTGTTGACAATACACAGAGATAAAAATCAGTTTATGACAAGGAGCAAACTTTTAATAAGACCAATGAATCATTAGAAATGATGAGAAAGGGAATATTAGATTTTCTGTCTTTTGAACGAGGATGAAATATTTTTATAGAGGTATATGCTTGAACAAATGGCTGGGGGTGGTAGAGGAATTCCTCACTGGCTTCTGTGGCTTTTGCAACACCTGGGGCCAGACTGGGTCATCTTAGACATCCTTGTGGCTTGGAAGGGAGTGAGAAGTCCCAGTGTAGCAAACATCTTTATAGAATAGCAGCTTCCACTAATTCCAAAGGTAATTAAGCTTACCTTCAAAAAAAGACTGGGAGGGGCATTGGGAATGTTCCTGTCTCCTAGTGCAATGCCTTTTTCAAAGATCCCCTTTCACCTGACTGCTTGCTACTAAAGGGTGTTTCATTGGCTGAGGTGGGTCCTTACGGTTCCTCCATCCTTGCCCCATCCACATTAATAACAGCACATGAGCATCTTTTTCAGGGCAAGTGTCTTCTACAGAGTGTCTGCTTCTACAAAGTGTAGTATTGCCTTTCTGCTAGAAATAATTATTAGGTTGAAAATAATCTGACAACTTCCTGCTGTGGATAAATTAAGTTTGCTCTCTACTAAGATTAGTTAGCTGGCATCCATTCACTAACGCATTACAAGAAAATGATTGCAAGTTGATTGTATCCAGTTATCTGCCTTTTTTTCTGTTTAATAGGCTTTTTGTTGCCATGCTGTCACCAAATGAGTGCAAGTTGTACTTTTCCAAGTGCCCTACATCCTGGGGAGATGGTGTTTGCTGTCCTGTACCACAAAGACTTTTGGGCAGAAGTGTTTGGAGAAGGGGAGAGGTTGTCTCCATGTAGATTTCTGAATCTTGTGCACCTTTGGTTTTGGCCAGCAGGGATGTGTTCTGCTCTATGGCAATCAATACATTACCACCAAAGTCCAAAATGCCAGGTATAACTGGCTCATGTGTTTAAATAGGTGTTGTTATTTTTCAGCTTGTATATACAAGCCTGTTTTCATGCAGAAGTCCATATTTTACTTGGGAAGAATGCTGTGCAAATCAGAAAAAGTATTTTAAGTTATGTGCTAGTGTTTAAGATTTTAGAAATAACTGTGAGATCTTGTAGGTGCCCAGTTTGTGACAATTGGGATGGGACTGGGCTGAGCCTCATCCCCAATGGGCTCCAGCTGTGAGCAGCAGGTGAGCAGCACTGACAGCAATGAGCCATGGAGTGCCCAGGGGCACTGAGCAACACCAAAGGGAGCAGAGGGCACACAGGGGCAGGGCATTAATAATGAGGGGCACTCAGGTGCAGGGCATGAGCCATTAGGGGCACACAGGTGAAATGCATTAACAGTGAGGGGCACACAGGTGCAGGGCATGAACCATTAGGGGCACACAGGTGAAATGCATTAACAGTGAGGGGCACACAGGTGCAGTGCATGAACAGTGAGGGGCACACAGGTGCAGTGCATGAACCATTAGGGGCACACAGGTGCAGGGCATCAACATGAGGGGTATAAAAGTTTGGGCTAAAGAGCAAGAAGGACAGAAGTTTGCAGCTTTCTGAAGTGGTGTATGGGTAGATGCTTTAAGCCTTCTGATGTGGTAAGGTGTTACTCTGTTTGGGGGAATGCTTAGAGCTTTCTGAAATGGTATGGTGACACTCTGTGCATTGTGGCCATCTCAACTGCAATGTATATTGTGACAAGATCTTTATTTCTTTGTTTACAATTGATTAGGGCTAGAGTTTTAAAAGCTTAGTGCTGACTCAAAGTGCTTTACAGTCAGTCACTGAGAAATATGGGCTTGGCACAACTCACGGTTTTGTCCTTCAGTATATCCATTATTGTTAGATGCTGAGTGGTTATTGTACATAGATGACTGGTTTTTTGGGTATTTTACATTTTTACAAGTTCAGAGAAATACTTTGTTAAAGTAGCTGCTGGGTGAATGGAGTAATTAAAGAACTGTACTGATTTTATTGAAGCTGACATATGCTGCACATTCCTTAAAACTCAGTATGTGAGCAGAATGTTTCCAGGATTTATTGAAGGCAGGCATCTAGAGATACTGGGGAGCTTTTAATAGTAGTAAAGATAACTTCCAAGTTTTATGCTGTTATATAAATCTGTCTTTAAGAAGAGAGCTGTTATTGCAATGCGTTGCTCGTGTTCTCTGTATTTTGTCTATGTGTATGTTTTATGTATGTACTTGTACACCTACAAACAAATGGTTGACCTGGGCACTTTCATTTGACAGTGACTGTATATTTTATTTAGTATTTATTTGGTGGGCAAAAAGTGTTTTAATACTGACTAAGAATCTCAATTTTCTTGGTACGAAAAGTAATC